GGGGGGCGGTTTGCTAGAATTATCTGGCCTCAAGACATGGAGGCCTTTGACATTTGCCAAAGTTGGGAAAACCATGATCTGCAAAATCAAACATTTTACCAATGAGGAAACTGAGGGCAAGGAGGTATAAGTGACTTGTCCACCATGCCACAGCTCGTGTCCCCGGGGCCTACCAAATTCCCATGCAAATTCATGGCCCTACCCCAGTTTGAGCCAACCAGAAATGCCGGGGTGGGGTCCAGCTGATGAATAAGGCCTCCAGGTGATCTGGATATATGCTCAAATTCGAGGACCACAGCAATCCAGGCAAATCTTGGGTTTCGGCTCATCCCTGCCACTGCCCAGGTGTCCCTGTCAGAGCTGCCTCTCCCCCCTCAGTGCACCTGCTCCTCACTCCCTCCTGGCGTGGGGAGGATGTGTCCCTGCAGCCTGCTAACCTGGGCCAGTGGGGCTCGAACCTGTGGGTCCTGAGATGCACCCACGCTCCACAGCCCTCAAGATGTTCCCCTCGCCTGCCCATCTCCCTCTCCACTCCGGTTCTCGAAGTTTGCTGGACAAAAGAACCACACAGAAAGTTCCCAAAAAAAGACTCGATGCTTAGGTGATGCTTAGGTCTTGCCCCAGACCAATGAAACCAGAATCTTTGGGCACAGAGACTAGGCATTTGCACATTCCTATTTTTCAGAATTGCCCAGGCAGTTCTACGGTGTAGCCAGGGTAGAGGATACGGAGTCAGAGAAGCAGATCTCCAAGGTTATGGTGGGTACGAACCCCTGGAGATCTCGTGGAAATGCAGATGTTACAGCAGGTCAACAGTGGGTCTGAGTCTGCATTTCTAGTAAGTTCCCAAGAGAAACAGATGCTGCTGGCCAATTAAGTGTCCCTGCCACTGGCCCCAACTGCCCCTACCAATTTCAAGAGTCCCCACTGGCCCTCAACCAGATGAGCTCACTTTGTCTTCCAGCCTCCACAGGCTTTAATCATCCCTCTCTTCTGGAGCTTGCTTTCTGCCTTATGCTTTTTTTTTTGAACGTTTATTTTTGAGAGACAGAGAGAGACAGAACATGAGCAGGGGAGGGGCAGAGAGAGAGGGAGACACAGAATCCAAAGCAGGCTCCAGGCTGTCAGCACAGAGCC